AAAAAAAAAAAAAAAAAAGAAAGAGAATGAGCAAGGCCCCTGATACATATAAGGGTCATCCCCTGGTGTTGTGTAAACCAGTGCTGTGACTGAGTAGCGAGTGAGTCGAATGATGAATACACGATGCAGACGTGCACTTATATAGCACCTACTGTATGCCAGGCGCTGTGCCAAGTAATTTCCAGATACTGATTACTCGCGAAATGAGTGTGCCTGCGGATGAATATCAAATGCATGAGTGCCTGGGCTTGGTTCTCAGCTCCCGGCCGGAGACCCCTCCTCCCTGCGAGACGCGGACAGATATTGTCAGCTCTGAGCTTGGTAGGTCTGGGGACCGTGTCCATTAGACACACTACTCACAGCAGTGGAATGGGGATCGGGGCGACTGTGATTGTTCCCAGGCTGGAAACATTGTTCGTTGTCCAAGGAGCTGCCCCGGGCCTCAGTGGAACCCCGGGACCAGTAGGCAGGTGACTATCACCTAGCAGAGCCAGATTATCTTCCCAATTTCCTGTTTAGTGTCACCCAGAGCATCAGTTAGAGTCCTATTCCCCCGAGTGGGAATAAAACACTGCACGTTTGAAAATATTTGTAGCCATCTGTTTCGCGTGTCGGTGTTTTAGAGCTTCAAATTTTTCAAGCCCCTGGTTATCCACTTTGATCTTCAAGAATGACCCATTTCTCTCCCTCCTCATCGTGTCCATCAAGAGGCACATAAAACGTCCATGACTTCATACCCGTTTCACAGATGAGAAAACTGAGGTGAAAACGGAGGGAAGGACCTGCTCTGGGCCTGGATTTCTGGCTCAGATCCCTTTCTGTGTTTCATTGCCAAAATGTACTTAGGTGGGGAAAACAGACCAATCCATTGGGCGCCGTTGTCATACCAACGCATAACTCATGGTGGTTATGTAGATTGAAGTGGCGAGAAGGCCTAGGAAAGGGGGTCCTGATGGGACTGTAGCTGGGGAAGGCCCTGAGGGCAGGGAGCGGGGAAGGAAGGGCGCAGAGCCCATGGGAACAGATTCTAAGAGAATCAAAGAGGAGGAGAACAGGAAGGGGCCTTGGGACCCACAAGGGGAGCGGGACCGAGGGACCAAGAGCACAGTCTCTGGAGCTGGGCAGGTCTGGGTTTAGATCTCCCTCACTTCTAGCTGTGTGATCTTGGGCCACCGACTCAACCTCTCTGAACTCGGTTGGCTCCTCTGTAAACAGGGAGAGACTGGACCTCCTGCCTTCCAGCCCACTGCTCTTTTTTTTTTTTTTT